GCAGGAGGGAGCTGGGAGAGGGAGAGGGAGGTTGCAGAGCTGCCAGAAGCTGTTTCACTGGCTCCCACCACAGCCTCTGGGGAGGCCCAGGCAAAGCAACAGCCTTCTGGTGTGGATGGGAAATTGATGTTTTTTTAAAAAAAAAAGGTCCCCAAAGACACCCTGTGTTTCAGCTAATGTGCTTCCTACGCTGGCTGGCTTGGGTTCCAACACCCAGGCCAAAGAAAAACACCCAGTGTTCTGCCTTCTAGCCACACTAGGATGCCGTACCAGCAGTCCCTGCCACCAGCACCTCTTTACTGTTGGCCCCACCTTTTTTTTCTGTAGTCCTAGCCATCATCCCTCTCTTGTGGATGACTGCAGCAGTCTCTCCCACGGCCACCAGTCCAGCTCCCCAAACCTCTGCAGTCCCCACACTGCAGCCTAACGGACTCCTTGATATGTCTGCTGGCATCTCAAACTTATCATAAAGGAAAGCAAGTACTCAGTTTCCCTCTCAAATAGGCTCTACTCCTCGTATTCCTCACTCACTAAATGGCTGAGGCCAAAAATGTCAGGGTCACCCACAGCTCCTCTCTTTCTCTCATACCCCATACCAATCCATCAGCAAATCTTGTCAATTCTGAATTCAGAACATACCCCACATCTGAATGCATCTTCCCACCCCCCCCACCAATCACCTGCCTTCAAGTCCCCATCATTCTTACCTGGATTATTGTAACCACCTCCTCACTGGTTGCACTTTTTCCATTATTGTTCCTCGCTCATTTAATCCATCCTTGTACACCACACCAGTGATCCTGTTTAATAAATGCAAGTCATGGCCGGCTTGGTGACTCACACCTGGAATTCCAGCACTTTGGGAGGCTGAGGTGGGAGCATCACTTGAGGATAGGAGTTTGAGACCAGCCTGGGCAACACAGCGAGACCCACCACCACCACTCTGTGTCTGCCAAAAAAAAAAAATTAAATTAAAAATTAGTCCTGCATGGTAATGCACACCTGTAGTCGTAGCTACTCATGAGGCTAAAGTGGGAGGATCGCTTGAGCCCAGGAGTTTGAGGCCGCAGTGAGCTATGATCATGCCTCTGACTCAAGCTTGAGCAACAGAGCAAGACCATGTCTCTAAAAAAACAAAATGAAATACTATAAAAACAAAACATAAGTCATCATATCATTCAGTGCTCAACATTCTCCAGCAGTTTCTCATCCAGCTGAGATGAAAATCCACTGTCCTTACATGGCCATCAAGGAGCCCTGCTCTGGCTTCTGGCCCACTCTGCTCTGGCCATTCTGACCTCATTGCTGCCTGGTGACTCTGCCAGGTGATCTCTGTCTTGGGGCCTTTGAGCTTGTGATTCCCTCTGCCTGGAATACCTTCCCTCCTGACATCCAAAGGGTACCTTCTTTCACTCCACTGAGGTCTTGCTCAAAGGCCATTTCCTCCAAGCCGAAAATGGCATCACTCTCGCTCCCACCCCCTGCCCTGGCTTTCTTTTTCTGTTTTTTTTTTTTTTTCTTTCTTTCTTTTTATTTTGAGACTGGGTATCACTCTGTCGCCCAGGCTGCATCCTCTGCCTCCTGGGCTCAAGCGATTCCTCCACTGCAGCCTCCTGAGTAGCTGGGACCACAGGTACACTACACCCAGCTAATATTTGTATTTTTGGTAGAAAAGGGGTTTCACTATGTTGCCTAGGCTGGTCTTGAACTGAGCTTGTGATCCACCAGCCTTGGCCTACCAAAGTGCTGGGATTACAGATGTGAGCCACCCCGTCTGGCCTTGGCTTTATTTTTCTTAACATCATTTATCTCTACCTGGCACTAAAATGTATGTTTACATTTACAGTTACATTCTTGTTTGTTTGTTTTCTGTCTTTCCCATTAGAATGTAAGTTCCATGAAGCATGGATTTTGTATCATTTTCTACTAGCACAGAGCCAGGCACATCGTAGGTACTCAATAAATCCACCTTGAATGAGAAAATGAATAAACAAATGAATGAATCTGGACAATAGGGCTAACCACGCTGAGTTTACCCTAAAGGGTCATCCTTCCATGGGAGTTTCCCTCCACTGGCCCACAAAATGGACGTCAGGTCTTGATACTGTGTCAGAGTTTTCTCATTTTCTGAGACCTGAAGCCAAGACAACAAACAGCAGAAACAGTTGAGCTTGGAATGACAAATAGGTTTCCTTAAGTTTGACAAGAGTCTTTATAAAAATTCAAGACGGTTTCCTTAGTATTTAAAACTTAAACACTGTGAAAATGCCCTATTATAGGAAACATATGCTGTCTGTCTGTAGGGATTTGGAGTAGAAACGGGAACTAAATAATACTTGGAGCTATGATGCATTGAGCACATACTCAGTGCCTGTTGCTTGCCTTCTCTCATTTTATGTTCATATCACAACCCCAATGCGAAAGGAGTTAGAATTGCTCTTGTTTTACAAAAGGGGAAACTGAGACTTGCAGTAAGTTGCCCAGAGTTGCACAGATAGTGGGCAGCATAATGCTGGGATTTGAATTCAGTCGACAGACTCCTGGGCTTAAGGAGTGAGCAGAAGGCAGAAGCTCTTGGAGACCAAAGTCTCTCACATGCGCATCAAATACTTTTGCTTCCCTTGCAAAGAAAAAGGCTTTGAAGATGAGCCTGCACCTGTTGACTTTCTCAATGTACCTTCACTCTTCCAGCAGCTGATGTTCAGGGGCAGCCGTCCATTTCTTATCAGTATCACCCCAGTTGCCAACTGCAGTGAGCTACTGTCAGCAACTTTCCTATTTGACTTCTTAGAGATATTTTAGTTATCCCAATGCTCTTCTCCTGGGAGTCCTCTCAGTCCTCAGCTTGTCTGATACTCTTCTCTCCTGGTTCTCCTCCTGCTCTCCTAAGACACTTGGAGGAGTATTTTTATCATGGGCAAATGGAAGTAAAATACCGATTTCACAGAGTTGTTACATGAATTAAAAAGGTCATGTATGCAGAAACCCTTGGCAAATGTCTGTTGCGTTGAAAGTGCTCACTGGTTTTTATTACTCTTGTTATCTCTTTCTACTCCCCATATTCTGTGCTTTAAAAAATGGTTTTTCAAGGCCTCTCTCCTGAGTTGCTGAACCTGTGTTGTTTTTTTTTGTGTGTGTGTTTTTGTTTTCTTTTTGTTTGTTTGTTTGTTTGTTTTTGTCGAGGTCTCATTCTGTTGCCCAGGCTGGAATGCAGTGGTGCAATCTCTGCTCACTGCAACCTCCACCTCCGAGGCTCAAGCAATTCTGTCACCTCAGTTTCCTGAGTAGCTGAGACTACAGGCATGCACCACCACACCCAGCTAATTTTTCAAAGACAGGGTTTTGCTATGTTGGTCTTGAACTCATGACCTCAGGTGATCTGCCCACTTTGGCCTCCCAAAGTGCTGGGATTGCAGTTGTGAACTACCACCTCCAGCCCAGAACCTATGCTTCTGACTCCCTGCAGTCATCACCTGGACTTTCACTAGCCCCTCAAAGTCATTGTCCAAAATGGAATTAATCATCTTTCTTAGTTCTCCCACTTTCTCTGTCTCAGTTCATAAAACCACAGTCTCTGTCATTCAAAACAGAGCCTTCATCATCCCCATCCTTGTCTCCCTGGTGGCCCCCTTCCCACTCCATTAGTCGGTGAGCCACCAGGCTGTCCACTGTGCTTGTAAAAATGGAGACAGGGACTTGGACTCTGATGTCAGATGGACCTGGTTCATCTTGCAGCTCTGCAATTGGTTTGCTGTGTGACCTTGAAGAAATTACATAATCTCCTTGGCCTCAGTTCCTTCATCTATAAAATGGAGATGATGCTAATACTCACTTCATAGGGCCATTGGAAAGATTAAATAAGGTAATGCAAATAAATAACTTTCCAGTAAAGAGCAATTTTGTCCTGGCATATAGCAAATGCATAATAAATATCAGCAGTCATAATTATTATTACTCCTATTACTATTATACTATTAGCTTGTGGTTACCTCCTATAGACACAGTGTTTGAAACACATAGAGCTTTTATGCAAATGGGTTTTGCTGGCCAAGAACAAGGAACACCAGATTTAGTGATGTGCCCCTTCTCTTTAGGTGGGAATTAGCATGTACATGTGTAGGCACTCATGCATGCATGCACCTATGTACACACATGTACATACATATATATGTTAAAATTCGGCTCAGATAGGGGTCTATAGGGGTCTTTTTTCTATAGGAAGACCAGCAGGATGGGTGAGAAATGGCAATGATTTTCTCTCTAGAACCCGATTGCTTCACCAAACAATGGTTTGTATTTCCTCCTTCCTGTTTGAAGACGGGATGGCTGAATTTACCTCCTGGCACTTTGTACTTAATGGTCAATGACTGATCCAGCTAACCAGGGGCCTCGTGGTTGCCCAGGCATTGCAAGCATCAAACCCAGATCTTCAGTTGGGATGGAGTTTGTAAATTGTATTCCGTTGAGTTGGAAAACATCCGTTGCTCCTGATTAAGAGCTGGAGAACAGCACTTTGAGGGGTCTGCTGCTATAAATATTGGGATCTCCCAGGTGAGGTATAAATGGGTCATTACTTTGCATCTTGTACCACCTAAAGCATCTCGGGTGCCTTAATCCCATGTTTTCCAACAGATGAGCTTGGCTGACTCCTTGGGGTGGGTTGAGGGAACATGCCACATGCCTCTGGCCCCACCATCTCATGCCTTTGCCATCCATCTCCTGACTGCCCAGAGGACACCAGGAGCAGCTCATGAGCTAAAAAAAAAAAAAAAAAAAAAAAAACTGAAGGTTGGGAACCCAAGGTCATGCACCCAAGGTCATGAGAATTTTGCATTTTATGTTGCTCTCATTTCTGATCATTGAAACAACCTCTCTGAGTTTCTGAAAGGAAGGGGATTGGAGAAAAGCACACCCAGTTATGCTAGGTTCTGTTTTATTTTGGCTTTGTTTTTGTTTTTTTTTTCCCACCCACCACAAGTTCTTTTCTTCCCCTCTCTTAGTGTGGGCGAAATGCTGAAAACTTCGACCGATTTTTCACCCGCCATCCACCAGTCCTAACACCTCCCGACCAGGAAGTCATCAGGAATATTGACCAATCAGAATTCGAAGGATTTTCCTTTGTTAACTCTGAATTTTTAAAACCCGAAGTCAAGAGCTAAGTAGATGTGTAGATCTCCGTCCTTCATTTCTGTCATTCAAGCTCAATGCCTATTGTGGTGACATTTTTATGTTTTTCATTGCCAAGTTGCATCCATGTTTGGTTTTCTGACGAGACTAGAGTGATGGTGTTTCAGAACCCAAATGTCCTCAGGTAGTTTGGAAGCATCTCTGTGAGATGGGATTATGCAGATGGCCTATGGAAAATGCAGCTGCATAATTAACACATTATTGAAGTCCTCTTACAATTTATTTTCCGCAGCATGTCAGCTAAGTAGACCCAATGGGGAGAGAAAATGCCTGCTTTCTCTCCCTCTTTTTCTGCACTGCCATATTCACCCCCAACCATCCAATCTGTGGATAATTGGATGTTAGCAGTACTCTTCTACTTCCGGGCCTGGAGCTTGGCTTGTATCCAAGTGTATGGTTGCTTTGCCTAAGAGGAATCCCTCTATTTCACCTGTTCTGGAGGCACCAGACCTTGAAAAGAACGTGCTCAAAATAAAATGTTATTTGTCTGGTTTTTTTTTTTTTTTTTCTTTTAACTCAAAGTTAAGATGATCGGAGTTCTTCAAAAATTCCAAGAATGTGCTTTTAGACGGTCTCAATCCAAAAGCACTTCAAGGGGTCAAAGGGCAACGAGTGTGGGTGCTACCTCAATGTTGTCGTTTCTGATACTTTATGTCTTTGATCACTCTCATCCCCAAACTACTTGAAAAGGGCATTTGGCACCACTCCCTGAAACAACAGTCACTCTAGCAAGGCCCCCAGAGGGCCCTGGTTTTACATTACATTTCAAACTTTATTTGCTTTGGGGTTTTGTTTCTGTTGTTGTTCAAATGCAAACAAACAAACAAACAAACAAAAACAAAGGTGACTCACAACGTTACACATGCTTTAAAATATATGTTCAGATGTTATTAACCACAATGACGACCTGCTTTGATTTAACCAAGAAGATGGCTGTGGAGCCTAGCAGACTCCTGTCTGTGGGAATGGGGTTTGTCTAGGTTTGTGGCTGGCTTTAGAAAGTTAATTACGTGCTCTGAAAAAGACACCGTTTCTTGAAGCAAAGATGGTTGTATTCCTCACTTTGATGTTGTTTTGCAAGATGTTTGTGGAAATGTTCATTTGTATCTGGATCTCTGTTATGTGCCATTTTTCTTCTAGCTTCAAGATACAATAAAAAAAAAAAGAAGAAGAAATAATATTTCAAGGAACACTGATCTTTTTGAAAAACATGGACCTAAACTACAAAGTGGGAACCGAGACGGGAACTCAGGAAAAAGGAACTAACTGTGGAGCTTTAATCTTGGCCCCAGTGTTCAGCCACTCAGCGAGGCAGGGACTGTGGCCCATTCAGGGACTGTTGGTGGCCTATAGTGGGGTGGGATGACCTGGCCAGAGCCACCAAGGATATTGGAGCCCAAAGTCAAGTTTACAGACCAGCTGGGAATGTGAACAGGGCTCTTAATTTTCTTATCAAAATCACCACTCCTCCCAGCTTGGACTAAATATTCTTTCTAGCGAGCAGCTTTGTGAGCTCCCTGAAGTCCAAGGAAACCCTGGGGTGGGAGAAATTTCATTTCTGTCTGAGCGGATTAAGACAGCAGGTGACTCCTCCTCCTTGCCTGCTGTGTCCTGCTATTCTCAGGCAGCTCTAAAGAGAATTCTTATCACAGTCCAAGTGATTTCCAGAAGTTTCAGGGCTTCTGAGAGACCATCAAGGGAACTTTAACGACTTGACAAATGTCCTTGAAGTCAGACGTCTCATCTTTAAGGAAAGTGGGGTTTGGATTTCTGTTTAGCCAAAGTCTCCTGCGGTTCATCCTTGTGTGACCTCTTCTTGCTTCAGGCTTGGGGACCGTCCCTGCTATGCCCATTGTGGTGGTAATTGGGACCTAAGATGAAGCAAACTTGAAGTTCTAATGGACAAGTTTAGGCAGTTAGAGAAGGAGGGAAACGGAGCAAAGCCCCCTCACTTTATTGTTGAGAAACCGGCATCTGGAGAGAGGAAGGAACTTGCCCAACTTCAATCAGCTGGGATAAAAACCTGGGTGTCCTGATCCTCAGTGCAGGGCAGTTTCTGCTCTGTAACAAGGCAACAGGCATCTCTGAGCGAGGCCCACAGACAGGCAAGATGTGAGGTCCCTCATCTGGTTGTTGGGTCATGATCTGATTTTGCCTGGACATGCTCTCAGGAAGACAAAACCATGGAGAAACACTAGGCCATTGATGAATGATCCCAGACAACTTTAGAAAACAATGTAGGATAGATGGAAAGAGAAAGAAAGAAAGAGATAGAGAAAGAAAGAATGATCTCAGACAACTTTAGAAAACAATGTAGGATAGATGGAAAGAGAAAGAAAGAAAGAGATAGAGAAAGAAAGAGAAAATGAAAGAATGAAAAAAGAAAGAAAGGAAAGAGAAGGAAAGAAGGGAGGGAGGGAGGGAAGAAGAAAAAGGAAGGAAAGAAGGAAGGAAAAAGAAAGAAGAGAGAAAGAAAAGAGGGAAGGAAGGAAGGTAGGTAGTGTGTATCTGTATACACTGCACTCTACATTTTCCAAATTCTTGCCGTTATTTTTCAAAAGTTTAATAGTTTGCAGAAATACTCAAGCCAAAGTCTCTTTTCCCCTAGCACACCGTCCTGAGGGTTGGTTAGAGGAATCTTCCGTGGAAAGTCAGAATTTCTACCACTTCCTTTCCTATCCACACTTCCAGTACAGAAGAAACGGAGAAACAGGGCTTTTTAAAGAAAGGACAGCACCATATCCACAAGGGCCGTCTTGGGGGATTAACAGGAGATTAATAGAATTAATAACCCTCCTTGGACGAGAGCTACTGTTCTCATGTGGCTTCAGATGCTATCCACCTCAAAGAAATGATCTCAACAGAGAGGCTCATTCTCCTTCAACTTCTATGGTAAAATCCAGGAGTATTTTCTCTGGGGATCTGCCCATGAGACAAAGCCCATAAAGGCAAGTCCTGTCTATACAATGTGATCATCTGAAGCATCAGCCATCAGCAGCACAACAAAGAGGGGGAACTTTCCAAGTTGGGGATGGTCAGAAGGGAATCTTTGCTAAGATGCCCACAGGCAGGGAAAGCCAAGTAGGGTTGATGAGACCAGGGAGACATAATAAAAACTCAGCTTTGCGTCGTCTAGCTGTAAATATACCTGCCTTTTGGCCCACACACTGTCCTGGAGCTCTCAGACCTTTAAGGGCCCTAATACAGTTCAGTTTATACAGAGGTTCAAAAGGGACAGTGGCCCATTTGGGAGACCTTTAGGATCAATGGAAATAAATTCCATTGTTTTGCCTCAGAGTAAAGTCTCTGGCTTGGGGGTAATTACAGGTTGCAGAAAGTATAGAGGCATATCATTAATCAAGTCTTCCTTCATTCCACAAATAATTACAACAGCCTACTGTGTGCCAGGCACTATTCTTGGCATTGGAAATACACTAGTGAAGAAGCGGACAAGGACCCTGTTTATTGTTTCTCTCCAAGAAATCTTGGAGAGAAACAATAAACAAGGCAATTTCTAAAGCAGTCAAGATAATTAAAGGATGCTAAAGTGTGACTTGTGGGGATGGGGAGAGAGAGGCACAGACAGTATTAAAGGAAGAGGAGGCAGTTGAGCCTTGCTGTGAACACCGGAAGTGACACACCGAGCACCTGGGGAATGGAAACTCCTGTGGCACCCACAGGCTAACAGCAGGCAAGACAAGGCAAACAGGGCAGGTGGGATGTGGCAGAGATGGGCCCCAGCCAGGAAACAGTTCCGTCAGCTTCTTAGCCAGCTCCATGCTGACCATGTGTATTCCTGAGACCAGTGTGACCGCCTCACTCCCACACCCCCACACAGACACGGCAAGAGTCAGGAGAGAACTCCATGGAGACATTTGACCTATCTCAGGGGAGCGGCCACAAAGAATCAAGTCTTGTAAAAGGCGTTTTACAAAGGGGAGTGAACCCAGCAGTGAGAGATCCTTAGCAGCTAGTGCCCATTAGGGGGCTAAACCTGAAGCCTGGCTGGTGATGGCTCAAACGCTAATGAGTCAGTCAATCCTCACCGACTCCCTGGCCTTTCTAATCTGGCACAACTTTAGCAGCAGCTTGGGAATGTGCAGGGTACCAGCGAATCCAAGGTGTTCTTCCCTGGTTGTCCTGTAACAAAACAGCCATTGGGTTGTCCCCCTAGTCCGAGAGACTGACATGAGGCCTATGTAGCAGCGATGTGGTCAGGTAAAAATCAGAAACTCACTGCAGTGTTGGGCAAGTCCTCCTGCCTGTTTGTGCCTCAGTTATCTCATAAGTCAAATACAGGAGGTGAGGACTCCAGATCTACCTGCCCCCAGGTGGGTGTGGGGATTATGGGGAAAGACGAGAGGCTTAATAAGGACCCTGAAGAGGTCAGAGCATCATACGGATTCCTTTATTAGCCCATGTTCTGATGTTCCCGGGTGAGACTTGCCCCAAACAATTGCTAGTAAATGGGGGGTTAATTTCTTTCCCTACTGGAAAAAAAAAAAAAAGAAAAAAAAGAAAAAGAAAAAGAAAAAGAAATGCCAGACTCACTAGGATAACTGAGTTGCTTTGAATTTCTTTGTTTTTTGTTTTGGCTTGTTTAAGGCTGCCCTTTTATACCCTCATTTAAGCTTCAGATTTTGTCTCATAGTTTGTTTTCTAGATACTTGCTATAGATGTCTTTGGAGAGAATTTCTGCCTGACAAAGGCCCAATTCTAATCTGTGGGTGGATTTTTGAGCTGACACTGGTCAATTCCTTTCGTAAGCAATGATCTGATTTCTCCACATGGCCATTCTGCCTTCTTGGGGACAGAGTAGATGGGCCACACTTCACCTCTTCAAAGTAAGAGGCCTCCTAGCCGCCTGGGTCACTACTGAATGGTTTTCTCCAGGATGTCCTACCTAATGATTATTTCTACAACATTAAGCATGGTAATAAGTAGCTTCCAATTCAATTCTTCCTAAAGCCAAAGAAAATACACCACCACGCACACACCACATTATGGCAATTCTGAAAGAAATTCAATGACATTTCTTTTCTTAGAAAATTTCCGCCATGTTTCTATCCCCAAGCCAATATACAATATGAAATGAAAGCTAGTACTTGCAGCTGCTAAAAATTTTCAGCACAGGGCTCTTTCTGACTCTGCTCATGAGATGGCATCAGCCACCCGATGACTGGCGTGTCTCGGTCCTGTCTCCTTCTTCTTATGCTGTGTTAATGTGTTTACTTTCCATTTGGCAGAGAGACAAGAGAGATACCTCCAACTTCGACAAGGAGTTCACCAGGCAGCCTGTGGAACTGACTCCCACTGATAAACTCTTCATCATGAACTTGGACCAAAATGAATTTGCTGGCTTCTCTTATACTAACCCAGAGTTTGTCATTAATGTGTAGGTGAATGCAAACCCCATTCACTGAGCCTGGGGTGTAAGACTTCAGGCCAAGTGTACGTATAAATTCTAGTCTTCCAGGATTCATGGCGCACATGCTGGCATTCAACATGTGGAGAGCTTGTCTTCGAGGGCTTTTCTTTGTATGCGTAGCTTGCTAGTTTGTTTTCTACATTTGAAAATGTTTAGTTTAGAATAAGCGCATTATTCAATTATAGAGGTACAATTTTCCAAACTTCCAGAAACTCATCAAATGAACAGACAATGTCAAAACTACTGTGTCTGATACCAAAATGCTTCAGTATTTGTAATTTTTCAAGTCAGAAGCTGATGTTCCTGGTAAAAGTTTTTACAGTTATTCTATAATATCTTCTTTGAATGCTAAGCATGACCGATATTTTTAAAAATTGTGAGTAAGCTTTGCAGTTACTGTGAACTATTGTCTCTTGGAGGAAATCTTTTGTTTAAGAATTGATATGATTAAATGAATTAATATATGCAAGCTCTTGTTTCTATGTTTTTTCTTAACTGGACCATGTTACAGAGGTTACAAACTGAAGATCCAGTTTGTGGCCATTAGATAAGCTTAATTTTACTCACATGAATTTTATTTAATTGAAACCATTGTGAACATGAAAAAAATAGGATACTTTACATAAATTCCTGGAATTTCAGATTCTCTTGAAAAAAGAAACAAAAGACTAGCAGCTCTGAGCCTGTTTCCGCAAGGAAATAATTCTATAGAACTGAGAAATGGTTGCCTCCTTTAAAAGTAGTGTGTGTTCTAATTTTGCCACAGTCTCCACCACCCCCTATTGTCTTATACCCTCCATCCACTTCCCTGGCTGCTGTAACGACTTGAGGTTGAGACCTTTGTCATTTGTGAGTCACAGGTTTGAGGACCTTAATATTTTCTTGTGGCCATAATCAGGGTATGTGTGCAGCCATTCACCCAATGTGATTTGTGTTTATTAAGCCCTCAGTGCAAGATACAAAAGATTTTATTCCAGCCATGACAAAAGTCAGGAAAGTCTGGTGTCAGTACAGAGAAAACCCTTTGTTAGTTGTCCACGCGGATGCTGCTATTTGTAAGACTACTTTCCTTTTACTTGTATTCTCCTAATTTAGCTTAGCACCTGCCAAAAAATGGGGGGTGTAAGCCCTTTTGTTTTTCAACAGCTTGTCCAGGGAGGCCCAACAGAGGAGGGAGAAATAAGGGAGATTGCTTCTAAACCCTGCTGGCATGATAAGGAGCCACATTCTCTCAGAGCAGAGTGGCACAGTACTGAATCACTGAGTGTCATCCCGATACCTTCTTCTCTGAATGAAGTCATGCTTCTATTTTCTTTTCAAAAGATATAGTAATCCAATATGTAGCACATGCCTTTGTAGCTGCTAAGGCTAGTGGGTAGGAGAAAAGAGCAAACCTGTTCACGCTACGTACATTATGACTCTCTGCAGAGTGCATTCATCTCTTTCCTTCTTGAAAGAGCCTCAGTAAATGGAGCATTGGGAAGATACAGTGAATCCATTTATCTTACCTAGTGCACCAATCTTTGCAGAATTTTAGAAACTCTGCCAGTTAAAGTTGCCTGAAGCCAATTTAAACTTCAAGAAGAAATTGTGTTCTATGTGTCACATTTAGAAAACAAAAATACCTGGGATTCTACAGATGTTTGACCGTGCATTCCACTTAAAATAGTATTATAAAGAAGAGGTTACCATTGCTGCCTCTTATTCCTCCTCATTCCATGCCAACTCCTCAAAACGTCCCCCCCTGCCAGATATAAATTCATCTTTCATTTAATAAATATTGAGCCCTGACTCTGAGCCAAACACAGCTCTGTGTGCTGGTGTTATGGAGACCAATAA